GTCCCTCGGCCCTTAAAGGGAAAAGGTTGCCTACCCCTGCTTTAATGTCTAAAGAATTGTTTTTGAGGTCTCCTCTGCATAAAGAAATTGTCTGACAACTGGAGCTGACAATAAACTTTTTGTTGTTAACTGCCTTTGTGTAGATATTGACCCATGTCGATCCTGCTGATGACACATCTGCAGACCCCCCTCTGTTCTCTACTGCTCTGCCCAGCTCCTGCAAACTCCACCTAGTTTTATTTCTACTGTGGTAGGCATTCCTTGATCAGAGTTTCTGGTTCTCTTTAATATTCTTATTAGTAACTTGGGTAACTAAAAATTTCCATGAGAAAACCTTATTAATAAATTCTACTGCTTCTTCTGCAGACTGTTATATATTGATTTAAATGGGGAGGAAGAACAGGTACATCGATTTCTTATGATTATGCATATGGACCTTAAAATTTCAGGTCACATATGATCAAAATAAACATGGTAGTGGGAGATTTGGCTTTCTTTCCAATTTTTAGAAGGGTGAATGTAGGACTTTGCTAGATAGTGATTGAGATTGGCCCTTGACTCTGAAGTCTATCTATAGGAATGGGGAAATTTGTTGAAAATGCATGAATGCTCCTCTAAAACAAGCGTTTTTGGTTTGTTTTAATTGATTTAAAAGAGTTTGTGATTGGAATTTGACAGTATTGTTCTAAGTGAATCATGGCTGTGGGCAACAGCATTGATGTTAATGCTTGTATGGGACATCAATTTAAATTGTGCTTTCAGCTTCCACTTTAGGGTGCCCATGAAAGTGTGCCCATGATCCATGTTCCCAGGATGGAGGCTTAGATAATTCCTTCTAGGTTCAACTTTCTCTCATGATGATAATCCTAAGGAAGCTTTTAACATTTGTCTAGTAGACTTCAGTGCTGAGAAAAAAAATTCTACCCCCTCCTTTTTAAAAGCTAAACATTTTGTTAAAATAATATAGCCTTAAAAGCATGGTGAAATTTAGAAATGTAATTCAGTTGGGGTTCCCTGTGAAATCTGCCAACAAGATTTTTTTTTTTGAAAAAGCAATTCTTATTTCAGTTTTGTTTTTATCTGTCACAGCAAGCCCTCATAGATGATGTCCCAGTATATTGGTTCCACGACTGTACATGATGCAACTGTTCTCCATTGAAAACACTTTTCTTCAGCACTACATCCAAAGAGCTGGAAGCTATAATCTCTGAAGATATCTCCACTGATGGTGTTATGTGTTGGTTTTTCAGGTGCTTCCAGAGAAACTTGCATCTGTTTCTAAGCATGGAAAGAAATCCTCTCAGTTGTGGCTAAACTGTCATGCACAGAGGGCCTGTGATTCAGGCATTCACTTTTATGTCTCTTAGAAAGCAATTTGTTCTCACTTTGGCACAGTGAAGGTTTTGTTGACATTTTTGGCTTGGCGTGTAGTAAAGCAGAACTGGATGCTTCTCCATCCTCACAGTGCTTCAGTATAATAGTCTTGTTGGTCCCTTTTGTGGTTGATAATGTAGCCAAGTGTAGTCTGCATAGACAAAGAAAATGAACTGTAATATCTTGAGGGAGAAATCCACAATATTATTATCATACACATATTATCTATTATCTATATTATCTATGTGTATGCCAGCCCAATCAGGTTTACAATCAGCTTGTTTACCAAGTAGGTTATCCTTTATGATGAATTGTGATGGAAACTACACTGTTTCCAAGCACCAGTGAGTCACCCAGTGATTCACCAGTATAAATCCTTGCAAACGTATTGCTAAAATGACTGTAATCTGAACAAATGTATATGAAGTACTTTGCACATTAACATGCTAGACAGAGGCACACTGTTGCTAATATGCAGAATCCACCTCTTCCTGTCACTGTCTGTAGCCATCCCTCCTTTTAGTCAATTTAGAATGTTACTGCTAATATAATTTTTATATTATATGCATCTGAGGAAGTAGATTGAAGTCTACAAAAGCTCATGCTCCCAACTTCTTTCTTTCAGTTAGTCTCAAAGGCGCTACAAGATCTCTCTACGTATAATTTTTATAGTAATTTAATACCATGTTCAGAGCCAGCATGGAATAGTGGTTTGAAGCTGGACTATGACTGTGGAGACCAGGGTTCGATTCTCTGTTCAGCCATGAAACCCACTGGGTGACCTTGGGCAAGTCACATGCTCTAAACCTCAGGGAAATGCAACAGCAAACCTTCTCTGAACAAATCTTGCCAAGAAAATCCCATGATAGGTTTGCCTTGGAGTCACCATAAGCTGGAAATGACTTGGAGGCACACAATAATAACAAGAAGACCATCTTCACCAAAGTTGTTTCTTGAATCACGAATGCCCTGGCTTCTTTGTGGCTTCTGCTGTGGTCACCTATGCTTCTACCCATTCTAAAGCCACTCCTTTTTTTTTTTTTTTTAATAAAGCCCAGTCCTAGATCTTAGCTGTGTGCTTACCAATCATCTAACTGAATTGGTGCACATGCACACCATGTATTGGTGTGGAGGTTACATAAGATGGCTTGCCAAGGCAGATCTCTCTTGCATTTTCTCCAAGCCATGTGAAATCTTTAGGAATCTTTAGGAAAAGGTTTGCTATGTCATTTGCACATGAATGGCTTTTTGCAGTCTGTTCCCCCTTCCCCCAACTAGTTTTTGTCTAGATGTTTTGGACTGCATTTCTCATCACACCTACACATCATGGCTATTGATCATGTTGGTTAAGGCTGATGGACAATTTTCTTTGTGGTAGTACATGCTAGCTTTTCAGGTACCTCCACAGAAACCTGCATCAGTTTCTAAGCATGGAACGAAATCCCCTCAGTTGCAGCTGACCATATCTTGCACAAAAGCCTGTGATACCACCACAAAGTCTCCAAGGCTTCTGGAGGACACTGGATTGGGGGAAGCCTGCTTACTGCATGGGCACAACCACTGTTTAAAGTGGCCCCCATTCAGTGGTGAATGTATCCCACTTCCTTGTTCTGGTCTATGGCTGTAATATTTATTCTATTCAGTGCTACTTCATGTACACCAGCTACAAATTCTAAAGACTCCCAACAAATTTACATCACTGCTATGTTAAACCTTGCAATACTTCCACAATGTTGCCACTAATGAAACAAATCTCAAGTAGTACCATAAAGCAAGGAGTAGGGCATACAGAGTTTTTGCACCAGTGTGTAAAGATAGACAGTTTTTATACCGACTCATGTTCAGGGAAATGATTCATGCAATAGCCATTAATGGATTATCTGAGAAACAAAAATATCTTCCTCTAGATGCTGTGGTGCCTCCTGAATAGCAATGTAGATTCAGAGGGCAGACCAGCATGGCATGGCATATTTTGCCAACATGGTCTATAGGACACTTGTATATGATAAACAGGAACAGCATGGGAAGCACAGGCTATGCCACTTTAAATATGATAGTGACACTGAATTCTTCCATCTCATATTAAGTTACCTTCAAGTATTGGAGCCTGCGCTTCAGTTAAAGTAGGAATCATTGTAAAACTTCAGGCAGAAGCACCCAAATTTTAACAAAATAGGCAATTCCTCTTCACTTACCGGTGTTCACCTAATAATTTGGGATGTTCACTCTGTTGATATTTTTCAGGGGACTGCCCAGACTTTCCCTCCGACACTAAAGGAAAGGAGAGCTGTAAAAAATTTTGTGTATGAGAGGACCCATTCAGTCTATGATCTTCACGGCATTCTCCACTGTTTCTGTCAGGTTTAATATATCTTGGTGGAGACCATTCTTTTCTTTTTGTTTCCTTTCCTTCTATACTGCTTTTTGGGTTTTCAAGGAGACCTGGGATCAAAAACAAACAAAGAAACAAATACAAACCTGCAAATAATAATAATAATAATAATTTTTATTTATAAC